TACATTGTGTACCAACTCTTTTAACTCTAAGGGTTTATGTGTTTTGTCTGGTTCTATATGTGGTGTACAAACTTGCTGTTTCAACCTGCTAATTCCACCTGTACTTGGTTCAATGTTGTTTAAATTTCATTTTCAAGCTGGGCTTCTACATTTTTTGGCAGGAGAATGCTATATAGGGATGGTCATAGCTCGATCACCTTTGAACCCTGGACATTTCAGTTCAGATCACAATTGGATGTGCGTAAATAAACACAGGCCAGCCCATTAAATTCATCCAACCCACATTTTGAAATGGGCAGCTTTGGAAATATTTGCCCTCCGGGATGTAGGGATGGAACTGTTTCCAGTTCTGACCCGTTTTTTGGGCTTTGGTTTGGCCATAAAAGAAAAAAAATAAACGGGAAGCGGGACTGGATTGGCTGGGTACCCACAAACAAGCCTAGACCTTGAAAAGGCGGTTCGAACCCGGGTCCAATAAAAAAATGACTGGTCTCGGCCCGGGTCCATCTCTATTGGGATGGCCTTTGGCTTGACTTGCAAAAGTACAGGTTATCTTGGATTAAGGCGTGTATGTGTGTATATATACACATACAAAGTTTGGTTCAAACTTGGTCACATTTACCATTCTCGCCCTCTCGGTTAGAGTTACATGGCTTATACCAAATTACCAACCACAATTATAGATCCATTGACTTAATTTTCAATTGCAATCACACAACTATGACACCATACCGGTGTAATGTACTCTCGCACTCTCGCCTCCGCCTCCGCCACAACCTTCCCCACCGACACCACAACCAACTTCACCAATACCATGGTCCTAGATAGTGTTGCATGTCCGCTATCGTCATCGTAATTACTTGTTGCCAAAGTTACAGTGACACGTGAATCGTTAGATCGCCCAGCCCTTAGGCACCACTGCATGCCCTTGTGCCGGCCTTACGTCGGTTACCGTCGGCCATGTCTTGACCGCCATTGCCCTTGCTCGACCCTCCCACCCCACCCCACCCCACTTTTGCATCACTCCCTTGCCACCGGCCAGCTAGCACTACCGCCGCCCAACACTGGAACCGTACTCACCGTCACTCAACACTGGAAATCGTATTCACTGTCACTCCATTAAATGTAACTGCAACACCCGAAACATAATCCCCCCTAGCTCGCCCTTGTCATCCTAGCCGAACCTTGGCCGCCGCCAGCTATTGTTGATCGGGTTTGCCCCTACAACCTTCCTCCACCCTCTCCGCCGCTTGAATTTCCCGCCTTCGTGGATCAAATTTGCATCGTTTCCATCACATTTGCAGCCTTTGTCCCCGCTTTCGCCGCCATTGACTTTGGATAGAAAAGGAGGAGGAGGAGGAGGAGGCGCAACGATCACCTGGGGAGTAAATCACAAAAGCTAGGCAACGGTGACCGTCAATCGAACAAGAAGATAACTGAGGGAATTAGGATTTTGTGTTATATTTATATGAGGAGTATTTTTGTGACTTAGCATATAATTAGTCTCTTTTTTTCTCGAAATTGAAAAGTAGTCATATTTTTGTCTAACGGAAACCTAGTAATATTATTTCCGTCATTATTTCATAATAATAATACTATGGAGTAATTAGTTATCATTTTTTAATAATCAAATACAAGAAATGAATGCAATCATTTAATTTTATCATTGTTTTTGTGTATGCGCTGACACGTACTAATGTATATATTTTCATGTTATCATGTACTAATAGAGCATCTCTAATGTTACAATGTGCACGGTGCACATGTGACATGAGAGAAATAGACACAAAAAAACAAAATTTATGACGTTTCTCTCTCTTTCTACGATCTTGTGTGTATTTGGTAAATTTTTCTCAACAATGTCAATCACAATGTCTACATTAAGACATTGTGCTTGACATCGTAGAGAAAACTGTCAAAAACATATACTCCCTCTGTCGCTTTTTATTTAGTCAAACACTATTTGTCAAGTCAATGATGTTAATCTTTGACCGATTATATATTTTTACGCAATAATAGTGATAATACGAAAATTATATGAAAATGTTATTTGCTAAAAATACCATCATAAAAGTACAAATAGTTTCATATAAATTTATTAGTTAAAATAATGAATTAAAATTTATCATTTTTTACTGGAAAAAGTCATAGATGACTAAATAAAAAGGGACAGAGGTGGTAAAACTTTTCAAATAAGGAGAGATATTTTTTTATTGTTTTTTAATTAACTATATCTCACGCATATGCACTGTTCAAGTTTTTGTATTGAACATGCTTTAATTGTCTATATACACAAATAAAATGTTTACAAAAACGTGTAGATATGGCTTTTGCAAAGGTAATTTTCCATGTTATCTTTCTCCTAGGCAATTTTGTCAATAACATACCCTGCTCGTCTCTTTCCAGCCCGCACTCTCTCCTAGGGGTGCAAATGGGCCAAGTCGTTCGCGAGCTGCTTGTGGATCGCTCGGGAAAAACTTGACTCGAGTTCGGTTAATTCAAGCTCGGCTTGAGTATTTAACAAGCTCAATTCAAGTCTACTTACTTTGGGCTCGTGGCTTGAGAGCCGGTTTTGTATGTGTGTGTATACATATTATACACATATATATAATAATTATTGTATATTTGGTACATTTAACATATGTATTCTAATTTAGGACTGTTGCGTTTCCGATACTTATACGGAGTATATTATTATAGTAATAATTATAAATATAATAATATTTATGTACATAATCATAATTTGTAATAATTATTATCTTTAATATCTATTGGTAGTAAAATAAAGAATAAAAATGTATGGAAAGGAGAAATGAAGTGAAAAAAGTAGTACAAATACGTAGTATATACTATGGAGTATTTATTACTCTCTCCGTCCCACTATGATTGTCCCGTTTTACTTTTTCGGTCTGTCCCACTAAGATTGTCTTATACCTTATTTGGTAAAGTTTGTGTGGTTCTAAATCATTCATACTTTATTCTTACTTTATCAATTCAATACCAACCACATAAACCCACTTTTATTAATAACTGCGTCACCAGGGACGGAGCTATCAACAAGGTTAGGGGGGCCTTGGCCCCTCCCAAGTATTTTATTTTTTAATAGTATTATTAGTATTATCTAAGTATTTCATATGTTCGTTTTAATCTTTTATGAGTAGTTAGTATTTATCTGCTTATTCCTATGCCCTTTTTAATCTTTTAGTTCATGGAATTTATCTTCCAGTAATTTATTTACGTATTTTACTTGTGAATGGTTTTCAAGTTTTCCTTTTCATTTGTAATTTTTTAGTACTTGCTTGATAATTTAGTTGTCAATGGATAGTTATATGTTAATATACATGCAATATAAACTTTATAATAATATATATTATATGTAGTATTAAATTAATACATAGTATTATTATATATGGTTGATAGAAATATCATATACTACATCCGTCCCAAAAAGAGTTGCAAATTTGACTTTTCTTAGTCAAACAGTCTCGTTTTGTTCACTTAATTAGGATGTCAATTTTTAATTATATTGTAATTTGGAGTTTACAACTTTGAAGAGATTTTAATGTAGTTTTTGAATATGTAAATTTTAATTATTAAAAATTGAATTAATTATCCATACGGAGGGTTGACTTTTATTATTGGTTGACCAAAAATTGTTGACTTTGCAAAACAAATTGTGACGGAGGGAGTATATAATTTTAATTTATTAATTAAGTCATCTTTAATTAGTGAAAAAATAAATCTATAAGGTTTTGTTTCGAGCTCAAAGTATACGTAGTACATTTTATTGCTTGCGTTCATTCTTGACCCGCCCCCCCTATCGTCAAATCCCGGCTCCGCCCCTGCGCGTCACCTTCTCTTGTCCCAAACTTAGGGGGCGGAGGTAGTATTTTGTATGTACAAATGTAATATTAACAAGGGAAAAGTACAGAAAAAGTACATGTGGTTTGAGCCGTTTTTAGCTAGGGCACATGTTTCATTTTTTAACAAAGTAGGACATGTACTTCAATTCCGCTATCACAACAGGGACATGACGTCTAACGCCGTTAGAAAATTTAAGCCCGATTTTTAAAATCTCCGAAACATCAAAAGAAAAATACTGGAAGGTGTGTCTCGTCAAGGAGACCAACAAACTATCGTTCTCTTTGAATTTTTCGGCTATATTTAGATTAGTTTTTAAAAATAAATTTGTTAATATCACTTTTCTGGGGGATTTTTTGCGACATGGTGGCTGGAAACAAAAAAAAGATAGTTTGTTGGTCTCCTTAACGAGGCACACCTACCAGTATTTTTCTTTTAATGTTTCAAAGATTTTTTGAAAATTGGGGTTAGATTTGCTAACGGTGTTAGACGTCATGCCCCTATTGTGATAACGGAATTGAAACAAATGCCCCACTTTGTTAAAAAATGAAACACGTGCTCCTATCTGAAAACGGCCCAAACGGCAAAGCTCGACTCAAGTTTGAGTCTGAATTTTTTAGATCGTCCATGTTCGGATTGAGGTCGAACTCGTGCATTTTTATCAACTTGAAGTTCAAGCATACCCTTGTCCTCTCCCTACCTTTCCATCTTCTTGCTCCGCCGTCTCTACCCACTGCTATCTTTCTTAGCAACTAGCGATTTAACTCAGACCTAATGCTATGTTTGGATAAAGTGCACTTAAGTAAACCTAGTGCAATAAAATAAATCTAAATTTTAATAAAAACTAGGTAAAACTAAGTGAACCTTGGTTCATGCGTAAAATAGTGTTTGGAAATAAATAGGGTTAACCTTGGTTGATGTGATAAATGTTGTTTGGATGAAGGTACTATAACTTATTTTATGTTGAACAGGAACTTAACCTCCAAAACCCCCAACTTCGAAGCTTCCTCAATTTAAGATGTTTCTAGATTTCGGGAGTTATGTGAGGTTAAGTCATAATCTAGTTAAAAATAAGTTTAACTAAAAATTAAACTTGCACCAACCTCTATTAACCCCCAACAAATGATGGGAAAAACAACAGATGCATAGCAAAAAGTATTTGAGAAACTTCGTGTTCATTGTCTTGTGATCTACAAACCTAAAAAAGATACAGAATTCGTAGAACCCCAAAAACCATTGCATCCCCTCACATCCGCAACCCCTACTGCATTCTTACCAGCAACCAAATACAATTCCTACCTCCCTACGATCAAAGCCAAAGTAAAGACAGGAGAAAGGGATGAAGTTGGACGTGAACGCTCTCAGATACCTCTCAAAGGATGATTTCCGGGTGCTCACCGCCGTCGAGATGGGGATGCGCAACGTATGTTAACTATACATCTCTTTTAGCTTTGGTTCACTCACGCTCCAAATCGTTTCATCATAATTCAATTCTCTACCTACGGGAGATTGATTGACTAGGCTGCGGATGATAGTTTTTTGTGTTTTTCTTACTTGTAGCACGAGATTGTTCCTTCGGAGCTGATTGATCGCATTGCTTCCCTCAAGTGCGCAGTCTCTCTACCTTCACTCTTCCCGTTTTCTTATTATTGCGTGGCTTAAGTTAATCTGAAGCATAATCGCTAGAATTGCCTCATTTGTTCAGAGTTCTAGACTTTAGGCAATCAATTTCCAGACTTTTATAAGCCATTCCATGTGTCTTGGTTACATTTTTTTGTTTTGTGCGTTAGGCATGGGGGAACTTATAAGGTGCTGAAGAATTTGCTTAAGCACAAGTTGCTACACCATGACTCTACAAAATGTGAGTTTTTAATTGTGTTCTGCTCAGGACCTTAGTGCAGAAATTGTTTACAAAGAGTTTTTTGTTAATTAATTCGTATGCAAGCTTAGTTGAAGAAGAGTTTGTTTTAATCTGGTCCTTCCTTTTGACACAGATGACGGTTTTAGACTTACCTATCTTGGCTACGATTTTCTTGCTATAAAGGCTTTGGTTAATCGTGGAGTTTTTACTTCTGTGGGTCGTCAAATTGGTGTTGGGAAAGAGTCAGGTATCTTTGAACTCTTTTGTGTTGTTGAGTATCTGTTTGGTTAGTTGAGGAAGCCCTTTCTGTAAATATATATAAAATTTATTTTATCTTCATTTCATAAGATATTTTTGAGGTTGCCACGGAGGATGGTACCATTCTTGCAATGAAACTCCACAGGCTAGGCAGGGTTTCATTTAGGGCTGTCAAGTCTAAGCGTGACTATTTGAGGCATCGTAGAAGTTTTAATTGGCTCTACTTGTCTCGGCTTGCTGCCCTCAAGGAATTTGCTTTTATGAAGGCCAGTTCCTTCCTTTTCACATCGTTCTTGCTCCCTTTGCATATTAGTTTCTTAATGCTGACTTATTGTCATGATAACATCTAATTTGGTTTGATCAGGCTTTGCAAGAACATGGGTTTCCAGTTCCAAATGCTGTTGATTGCAACAGGCATTGTGTGATTATGTCACTTGTCCAAGGCTATCCTCTGTAAGTCTTTAACACCCTGAAGTCAAGTAGTCAACACTATAGAGCTTAAAGATATGCTGGCCACAGATGTGTTTATAGATGACCACTTACATTTTGTACCCAAACAATATGTGGATAATATTATTGTTGGAATAATTCCTAATCATCATCATCATTACCCTAGTGCTGAAAAGGCTCCCACATAAGGTGGGGTAAGGGGGTGATATGAAGCAGAATCTGGGCTTGGAAGAAGAGGGGAAGAAGCCCCCGTGGGTTTACCGAAGGCGGGACGGGCTTGAACCCACCTTCGTGTGCTGGCTGCGGGTTGTTTAATTAATATTTATTCTTTTTATTTTTCCTGATTTGTTTCCTTTTGGAGTTAATTAGGATTTCTAATATGTGTTTCCTATTAGGAGTTAATTAGGATATCTATTATTTCTTTCCTATTTGAAGTTGATTAGGATCTTTATTATTCTGTTTCCTTGTTGGAGTTGATTAGGATCTCTAGGATTTTGTTTCCTAGTTTAAGAGTTAGTAGATGGGTATTTAAACCCCTTGTTAGGATTCATTCTGGCTCATCTTGGAATAAAATTGGTTTTAGCCTTTTGGCTCTGGGCAACGGTATTTTTACCGTTGATTATCGGGCAACGGTTTACCCTGTCGATTTTATTTTTTATGCTTCACAACAGGGGGGTCGAAATAATTCCTAATATATGACTAAAATAAGAGTGCTGGACGAACAAGTGACTTAGTAACTTATAGTGACTACTCCCATGTTCAATTTGTATAAAGCAGTGACCATAAAAATACACTCATGGTAACTTTAGTCACATTTTTGTGGGGATAAGGGTCAGTTTGGTCCTCGAAGTTGCAAAAAAGGGGTCAAATAAGTCTTTATTTAGAAAATTCTGTCCGGACGTGCCATTTGAGGTGGCTCCCGGTGGAATTTTTTAATTAATTTTTTTGAGCATCTTATTCATTAAGTCTAGTTTACTCATACCAAATTTCAGATAAAAATTCAATCGGGAAGACATTCAAATGAATTCTTGAAGATAACTGTGTCGTTAAAAGCGCAGTTATCTTCAAGAATTCATTTGAATGTCTCCCCGATTGAATTTTTAGCTGAAATTTGGTATGAGTAAACTAGACTTAATGAATAAAATGCTCAAAAAATTTCATCAAAAAATTCTACCGGGAGCCACCTCAAATGGCACGTCCGGACAGAATCTTTTATATAAGGACTTATTTGACCCCTTTTTTGCAACTTCGAGGACCAAACTGACCCTTTACTCCATTTTGTGCACATGTTTTTCTGTAGTACGAGTAATATTTTTGGAAAAAGATTCGGTACTTTTTGGTGACTTTGTCACAATATCATGGTAAACTGATCTTTGAGCTACATCATTGACCATGCACTCATGAGGTTTTCCTTGTCTTGCCTTAAGCACTTAATGTCTAAAGACTATCGTTGATTCAATGCGAGCGTCATGCTTCTGCTTATTGTGGATAAATTCTTTTGAAATATTCGGAGCATACACCTCTGTCCCGGAGGTTAATAATATGTATTGCACATGGACTTTAATTTCTTTAAAAAGTAATCTGTGTAATCATTTAGGCCATCCTGCTTTATTCTTCTCTCTCCTTCCATTTTGATTGGTAATTTTTTATATGTATTATTTGCTACAGTGTGCAGGTCAAGCAATTGCAAAACATACACACAGTTTTTGAAACCATCATTGGTCTTGTTGTTCGCCTGGCTGAACATGGGCTTATTCATTGTGATTTCAATGAGTTTAACATAATGGTATGCCTACAAGATGCTTGTGATGGGGTGACCTGTGTTCTTTCTCATCTGCAGACTATAGCTGTAGTTATCTTTATCTATTAAATGCTATAGTTTATCAGTATAACATTCAATTGATCTAATTTTCATGTCTTCTGAAATCCTAGATTGATGATGATGAGAAGGTCACAATGATTGATTTCCCACAAATGGTCTCAGTCTCGCATCGAAATGCACAAATGTAGCATTTTCTTCTTTCTTTTGCATTTTGTTTAGTCACTTTAAGGGTAACTGTTGATGTATGTTTTCCTTTATTCATTTTTTTATGATCCTCTCGACTTCTAGGTACTTTGACCGTGATGTTGAATGCATATTCAAGTTCTTCAGAAAGAGGTTTGTTCCTTGTCATCTTCTGATTATTTTTTCTTTCAACGTCAAAACTTCATGATATTTACTTGTCACCTTTTCTCTGTGGTGTTGTTTCTTAGGTTCAACCTGTCTTCTCAAGAAAATCATGATGATTCTGATGATTCAGAGGCAGAAATGGAAGATGAAATACGGCCCCAATTTTCTGACATAGAGAAGAATTTTGGTTGCCTCGACAAGGAACTTGCTGCTAGTGGTTTTACTAGGAAGGATCAAGTTGAGATCGAGAAGGTATGACTGAAGTTCGAACTTTTGTTTTAAAATGTAATTACTGTTTGCACAAAGCTTAATCATTTCTCTTTTTAATTTTTTTTAAGAATGATACAAAGAAGAGAGCATCTCTTTTAATATGACCTACTGGGCCTTTGAATTGGCACCAGGTTACCAGGCACCATCTTTTTTTTTATGAATCTTAATCCGTCCTTAAGGCTATGTCTGTAACCTTGAAAATTGTAGGGAAAAGAATAATACCATGGAAAATGGTTTTTTAATGTATGGTTTTACCTCAGAAAACACGAGTTCAAATCACATTTGATTAATTTCTTTCGGAACTTTACATAGATTTAAAATAGGGAAAAGGGACAAATAAGCCCTCGAACTAACCAAAAAAGTGCAAATAAGCTTTTATATCAAAGGCTCTGTCCGGCCTTCGTCATTTGGGGAGGTTCCCCGTGAAATTTTTTGATGAAATTGTTTGAGCATCTTCTTCATTAAGTCTAGTTTAGTCATACCAAATTTCAGTTAAAAATTCAACCGGGAAGGCAGTCAAATGATTTTCTGAAATATACTGCGCAGTTATCTTCAAAAATTCATTTAACTGCCTTCCCGATTGAATATTTTGGTGAAATTTGTTATGACTAAACTAGATTTAATGAAGAAGATGCTCAAAAAAATTCATCAAAAAAATCGATCGGGAACCTCCCCAAATGGCGATGGCCGGACAGAACCTCCTATATAAGGGCTTATTGCACTTTTTTGGTTAGTTCGAGGGCTTATTTGCCCCTTTTCCCTTTAAAATAAGTTTGAGCAAACATCTAATATTTTTTAATTCCATTGTCATCCCTGTTTTCTTTACTTAAAAGTTAAAACCTTTTAAGTTCCAAATGGACCCTTAAGGAACCTGTTTCTCAAGTTTGTGTTTGGATCTATAAAGGTATGAATGTATGATTAAAGAAATGAAGTCTTTGAAACTGGAGGTGTATATGATTGAAACATGCCTTATTTCAATGTAGAATGGCATACATATAAATCAACCTGCAATAGGCTTTTTCATTGACTAGATTTTCATTATATAGATGTGAAGTGTGTACATGTTAGTTTGGGATAGGTATATTAAACGTTGTTGGTTTTGTTATGGTTTTTTCTCCGGCTCATCTCTTTATGCCATTGCAGTTTATTGAAGTAGAAAATGTGGGTACTCCAGTATCAGATGATGAAGGATATGAAGAAAAGAATGAACCGGCAACAACAGATCTTAATTCCTTAAAACTGGATGAGAAGGTAAATTTTCATTTTCTTTTGCAGATAAGTATACAAATTAAGGATGTTTTTACTTGGACTGTAATTTGCTGGTCTGGTCTGGTCTGGTCTGGTCTGAACTGGTCTGGTCTGGTCTGGTAAGGTCTGGTTTCTTTGTATTTTTATAACTATCCAAGTCTGGTCTGGTCTGGTCTGAACTGGTCTGGTCTGGTCTGAACTGGTCTGGTCTGGTCTGGTCTGGGGCAAATTACAGTCCAAGTAAAAACATCCTAAGAGAGTGTTTGCAAACACTTCAAAAAAGTGTTTTTCAGCTTTTGGCTTAAAAAGTTTGAAACTGCTTTCACTTTTCCTCTTACACAGAAAGCACTTTTTTACCAAACACTACCAACTTTTACTTTTTCAAAAACACTTTTTCCCCCAAAACTAAACTTTTACTATTGAACACTTTTTTCTAAAATCACTTCAAGTAATCACTTTTTAATGTTAAAGCAATCGCCAACACTTCCTAAGACTAATTGGTTGGGGTTATGGTTAAGCTCATGTTGTGTGTACACACTTTCTTGGGGTAAAGCATAGAAAGAAAGTTTTAGGGGAAAGAAAATAGGGAGAAAAGTATATAGGAAATTTGGAAGAAAACATAATATTTGTTCAGCCTCATTTGATATGTCCGTTTATTATATTTTTATTTATATAATATAGTGACTAGGAAAACTAATTAACTGATTTAATTCTAAGAATATTAATCATGTTTCAATGGATTTGCACTTTCTCTGGTAAAACCACATACGAAGTACAAGAAAATAACATAGTTTTTTTCACGATTCTAAATAGACCCTAAGTGTGTTCCAAAAAAAAAAAAAGACCCTAAGTGATTTTTTTGCTACCAGGAAGAAGATAGTCAAAATGAAGAGAGTAAAAGTGTGCTGAAGACTGACGGAGGAATTGAGATTGAAGGTGAGGTTTTAGAGGAAGAGGGACAGAATGAGGAGGAAGAAATGGGGAAACGGCTGAATAAGCAACGCAGACGTGCCATACAAGCTGCCCATGGCGGAACAAGACATTATACTTCCAGGAATACATACAAAGACAAAGGTGGCAGATCCTCCAACAACTCTAAGGTTCAGAAGAATTTGAGTAATTGGTAAATGGTTGATTGATGAAAGAAACAACCAACTAAGCAATTCACGCAAGTTGTTTTTTTATCAAGTTTATTATGGTGCCTATTACTGCTTTGTTGTGTAATCTTATTTATTTCATTTCATTGGGTTCTGCTGCTTGGGGCCGTCACAGTTTTGTAGCATGTATTAGCTTAAGCAATGATCAAGTGAATTGGATAATTGGATTATGTAAAACATATAATTTATGTTCTTGAATAATTGCAATTTTAACATTTTATATACTCTCTTTGTACAATAACTAACTTTTGTTTTGACTTTGCACAAAGATTAAGAAAGTAGAATTGTGTGTCCTAAAATTGTGCAGAAGAATCACAATTTTTTTGCTAAGAAAGAAAAGGGAAGTATATCGGGGCAAGACTGTTGATTTACAAAAATTATCTTTGTACCCACTTTTATACCAATTATACCCATTTTTGTACCTGTTCTTATAACCGGGTTCACAGACAAAAAAAAATTTTCACAAACATGGTTGTTATAAGAGTGAGTACATCAAACATAGTTGATTAATATAATACTCCTTTCGTACCTATTTAAAGTTCTTGATTTGAATAGCCCATATTTTCAGAAAATGAATTTTTTTCGTTTGAGTTTTTAAAATGTTCTTTTTATTGAGTGGTAAGTTTTATTGTTTAATTATGTTTGACACTAAATTGGTAGAATATTGTTTATCAAATATGGAAAGGACATTTTAATCAAAGATATCAATATAAAGAAAGTGGGAAGTTATTTAAGGAATGAAGGTAGTATTAAATTATATTTTGAAAATACGATCAAATTTGTCATTTTCAAAATCTACTTTTATTTTTTATTTTTTCTGAAAGGCAATTAAATATATTAATGATTAGAATTATGAAAAATAAAAATGAAAATGCTAAGTGTGACAATTAAATCAAAATAGGGAAGATATTAGCGATGATTAGTGTTGCATTGTCACTATATGCAGGTAGGATTTAAGAATGTAAACCTCATCACTCCAACAGTCCAACTTGGTGGTGTGGTTTACTTTGCCGTCCACCAATATTAGGTTGGGTCGGATTTGTTATTTTTTTTGGGCCTACCCAATTTATTCGGGTTGGCTCTTTACCAATCCGCGGTATGCATTATACGAAGTAAGTTGGTAAACCACATGAACGGTCTAGGTAGGGATGGGTATCGAGAAAAAAAATATTTCAGGTTGGAATCGTTGGATCTTTAATATGGGCAACTAATGCATGCAATATGAATATCGGTTAACTTGTTTCCAAAATATACAAATAAATACACGTACTTTTTATAAGAGTAAACTTTGGACAATAGCATCAAAACATTCTTGTGTGACGGAAATTATTTTAGAAGCAAATATATATATATAATAATCACTTTGTCAAAATGGTAAATGTTAATACTGTCAATATTATAAAGTCTTAGATAGAGTACATCGGTCTTAAATAGAAATTGTTCTGACAAAGCATTGTAGAATAATAATAGTAAATTGAACTTTCGACTGGGTCGGCTACTATCGGATTTGAGATTTTAATTCTACAACCCTACCCATTAGGTGCGGGTTCGTACATATTTAACCCATGAATATTTTTTAAAATCAAATACCCGATTAAAAATGGCTGAGTAGGGTTAGGTCGAGCGGATTATGCGGGTTTGAGTTATTCTTGTGCAGCCCTAATATTAGGGGTAGACTTGTTCTGATCTAGTGTTGATCTCAGCGTTAGAGACATAGAGGGTTCCATGATTTCTATATTAATGTATCAGTATGGTAACCATGGACCACTAGTGCTATTCGGACTTGTATTTTTTAAGGGATTTTTTTTAATATGAGTAAGAGAATGTGATATGTTCCCAAGTAGAATTATTATGATCTCTCTTAAAAACTAAATTTGGAACGTATTGATAAGACATTTCTCAGATACTAATATGGATCCACTTTTTTTGGTCAACAATATGAATCCACTTTACCATCCTAATCTATATGGATCCACCATTAAACAGAAATATGATTTATTAACACTATTGGTCAATAGTACATACCTATATTTTCAAAATGGGATCGGGTCAAGAGTAGTCCGGACTTGAAATGCCAACCCAGACTCGAAATAAAATGTGTAGTTCAGGTTTATAATCAAAATTTGTAAGGGAAAACTTCTCAATTATAATTTAATAATGATAATTATAATAATGATAGAAAACATTTGGAAAAAGATGTATATTGAGGTTTATTTCTCTCGATCCAAGGGTTCAACACATTTCATTGGACTTCTGTTGGAGTTTAATGGGTTAGATACTTCGTATATTTTAGTGGATTGGGAACTGTTTCGTGGAACAAGTACTTAGCAAGTAGGAGAGAAAGGTAAGTGGGCCAAATTCTATTGAATACTTGGAACAATTATAGCACATCCTATTGAATCAAGCGTCAAACCTCAATTCTAACTTTCTAAGCTGAGAGTACAGAAGAAGTAGAAGGAAGAGCTAAATCTATTAATTACAAGTTGTCAACCTATATGTTTCTATTTATACTATATATCATGAGGTAGGTGATGGTGGTTGTGTGATGAACCTTGAGTGGCTAGCCCCCAACCATAAAATTTTTCATATCTAGTGCATCAAATGTACTCTCCGCCAATTACCCTTCCTTTCCTGCCAATTATCCTGAGGCTACCGACTAAGAGTCTCCCAACGATGGCTAGGACAAATCATCCAAGAACTTTGCGTCATGCGGCACACACTGCAGGGGTGCAGCCGCGCGGCCGAGGGACCTTAGCGGGTTTCTGGGTTCACTTACCCGCAGGGGTATTGGGCCCATTACCCCAACAATGTACAATACATATATACAACTTAATAAGTATAGGTTCAATACAAAATGTTAAAAAGCTATATCAGTATTTTATATACTACTGAATATAATTGATCGTTTGCAAACTATCTTACAATAAAAACTGGGTGGGAAATAAAAAATTCTAACACAATTAGATATCGAAATAACCGTTTAGCTAGAGAATGAGCAACTTGATTTGCTGACCTTATACACCTCTGCATATAAATATTTTATTCTTCATTTAGAAATGCTTTTCCTTTTACATCATCAAAAATCACCCCCTACTTGATAACTATCTTTCTCCCCTTTTACCCCCAAGAAACAACGAGAGCCGCATCAGTCTCAACAACGACATTCCTCTAATTATTTTCTCGAGCCCGTAGTATAGCTTCTCTTACACCCAACACCCCTGCCTCTATTGTTATTACAAACAACAACAACAACAACAACAACAACAACAATCAAGTCTTATTCCCAAAAGATTTGGGGTCGGATAACATGAATGGATCCAAAATACCATAGCCAAAAAGAGAAGAAGAATATATAAGAAGAATGAAAAAATGTTAAGCAAGATAAAATGGAGAAAAACCAGGATAAATAAGAACATAGAAAGATAAGTAAGATAAATATAAGATAACAATAATATAAGAACATAAGAAAGATATAAAACAAAAATAACATAAAACATATAAAGATAAAGAAGATAAATGATAAAAGAAAAAAGAGAGAGAAAAGAGAGCAATGAGGTCAATCGTCCAAACGAATGCGCGCTCTCTACTTTGCTCCCCACCTCTATTGTTATTATGATGATTTATAATTAATAGCTAGCAAATACTTTTTTTAGTTTGAAAAAGTAAAGATGTTTTTTGTTGAACTGATTTCAGTCTCAGACCATATCAGACTAAATCAGACTAGACTTAAACTAGATCAAATTAGATTTTAGCAATTATAAATACACATTTAAACATTTATTTACATGAAGAAACAAAATAAAAAAGTTCATACTTTCCTTTTTGGACGTCCCATATAAAGGTTTTCATTTTCTTTTTAGGAAACAATTAACGATCTTAAGTGCAAAAATAATCATTAAATATTGAAAATAATACATTTATATCATCACAATTATCAATACTAACTACTCCCTCCGTCCCATTAGAAGGTTCCCACTTTCCTTTTTTGAATGTTTCATATAAAGGTTCTCATTTCTATTTTAGGAAACAATTAACAATCTTAAGTGACGAATTAATCATTAAATATTAAAAATAATACATTTATAACACCACAGTTATCAATACTAACTACATTATAATATATACCTATTAAAATTATTTCTCAAAATATACCTGAAGTACTTTATTTAATTATTGTCTAAATAATCATACCGTTTTGCTATGGGAACGTTCTAACGGGACGGAAGTAGTACACTAGTACATTATAATATATACCTATTAAAATTATTTCTCAAAATAACTCAAAATATTTTATGTAATTATTGTCTAAATAATTGTTCCGTTTTTCTATGAGAACCTTACAACGGGACGAGGTAGTATAATACAAGCTATAATAAGATTATAAGAGATCAAATCCACTCATCCGCCCTGTAGCGAATTTATGAAACCGTTGAAACGAATACTTCCTAGGCACAACGGATAGCAAGTGAGTAGGAGGTCTGTGTGGGATTAAAGACGGATCCACTAAATAACATATGTTTATCTTTTCTTTCCTCATCTCCCCTCTCAAAAAAGAAATTATAAATTGAGTTCTTTTGAGCAAAAAAGGAATTGAGAGTACAAACTACTACGTATAATGTAAGAGTAAAGCAGAGAAATTCAAAAAAGTATGTTAGAGGAGTAATGTTGTTCCATACCAGATATTTATTAAATAATTAAACACTATTGATGGATAGTCTATCTAGGGATAGTCAATCTGGGGGATACCACGAAGGGTATCTAGGGAGAAGTCAGAGTAATAAGTAAGAGAGAAAGTGAGAATGTAATAAACGAAGTCGTTGTGTGTTACAGAGGAAAAAAAGGCGCTATTTATAGCAACCATAAGTACTAGGCGCATTAAATGCGACTACATGTGTCAACTAATCAATGATGGAGGGTAATTCCAGCCGTGGTGGCGCCGACATTACATGTCGTACCGCATTAAATGCAGTGGTTGGACGTGAAGCCACATTAAATGCGGTGGTTGCGTGTCTTCAGAGGGAATCTTTGCTGAGAGGTAAACCTTCGATGTCATAGCGAAGGCTTCCCTGCCGAAGGCTACCATTTTAGCCAGAATTTCCCAGTAACGATGTTGGTCCAATAATAGTTGTCCCATCGAGTTTCATGCCCTCGGCTATGGGGCCGAATGTATACCTTGTGTCCCTGGTCCTTATGTAGCTTGGGCCTCTGCACATGGGCCGCCTGGGCATGTTGGGCCTGTTC